GAAATATTGTTCTGCATCATTATTATGTGCATGTACACAAGATATAAAGAGTCGAGTTAGGACACATCAAAAATAGAGTTGGTGACACGAATTAGTTTCGTGATTATAAATGTAAATTTGCGCAAAAAAGAAATGATTTTGCAGCAAATTTGCATCTTCTAATGAATCAACATCGATATGAAGTAGTCACCAGCAAATCTGAATGACGAGTTTTGTGAGTATGTAAGTTTAAGTTATTGCCTTCTTAATGTAGAAAAAATCATCATTTAACACTCAATAAGATATCAAATTTTATCATAATTGTACTCAACATTCGTCAATTTTATTGTGAAGACTAATTACAAAATTAGTCAAAAAAATGAGAAACATTGTACCCTTGAATCGCAGAGCTAATTTGCTGCCTTGTTATGGTAGATACTCTCCGTTTCGCGGCTTTTTGGTGTATGCGGTGCCAACTCCTATGCGTTTAGAGTCGGAGACCATATGCGCAATGTTGCACGGCCACACTCCGTCAAGAATTTTTCTTGATTGATGTGCCAAAAACCGTTTTTGCTATTGCTACTACAGTAAAACCGGTCTAAATTAAACATGTTGAGACTGGAGGACAGTGTTTCATTTAAAGAGGGTTTTAGATTAAACCGGTTTATTTTAGACAGGTTCTACTGTATGGTGCCGAACATGGGTCCATATCTTTTATTCAACTTAGAAAGGGTTTTAAATTAAACAAGTTTAATTTTGACAGCTCTACTGTATTGCGAAATTTATGCCACACAAAAGGAAAGAGAATATCGTGATAAGAACAATAATTTTCTTTCGAAAAAAAATATCTAAACATACTTTCGTCTGTGATTGCCAGATTGTTCACCAGAAGCTAATCGTTTTAGCGGTATGTTATCACGTTAATCGCTTGTATCTCGTGATAGTCGGTGTCAAACTCACCACCAGACTTAGAGACTAAAATCTTTGTCAAATGGAAGTTGAACAACTTGTATACACAAAGTCTCTTAAATATCATGAATCATCTATTGCGCACGAAAACTCTCACGACTGCAGATACTCCCGCCATCAACAATGTTCTCACTCATTACGCTGCGTTTTTGAATGCCAAATAAAATGATGATTTTTTTGTTTTCTTGTCTTTTGTTGCATTGGTTCTCTCGAATTTGAGGTTTCTGACATTATACAACGAATCTGTCACAAATGATAATGCTTTTAAAAGACCGTGTTTTTAAGGCTTAAAATTAGTATCTACTGTTTTTAATTGTGGCGACTGCGTATGAGTCTCGATGGTCTTCGTGCGCGCTGGAATCTACGGCGGACAGAGCGATGCAATAGTGTGGAACTAGGTGCAGCTTCTGCAAATGCTTACTTTACATCGAAACGGATTCGACAGCGCGCACCCTCTAAGGTGAGAAAACGAAGTCAAAATGTGCAACATGTTACAAACGACGCGAGTCCAAGTCGAATACAGAGCAAAAGGCAGCGAGTAAATGAGCAAGAGGCGGACACTGAGATTGAATGTATTAGAAAACTTGATTTGCCGTCGCATAGCCAGATGGTGGCGGAGTTACGAGCGGTGGACGAGCACAGGATACCGCAGTATAAACACTTCGAGCACTTTTTTTCAACGTGGAAGTGTGAGCTTCTTGCGAATTTTAACTTGCTTTTTTACGGTGTGGGCTCTAAATTGGCGCTACTGCAAGTAAAAGAATTGCTTTTGATTGAGTATCACTCAAAAGTTTTAATTATGTCGTGTCTCGTAGGATTTTGCCTCCACATGGCTTAGCGATGGGTTTGTTCTACAAATACATGGTTACTTGCCAGTTATATCACTTAAATATCTGATTGAGACAATACAATCGAAGGTGAGAATGAAATATTTGATTCTAGTCTGCAAGCGTGATTTGACGTATATTGTTTAGATTTTAAACATTGACGTGAAGCAAAATCGATCGCTTTCTCAACAGGTAGAATGATTAATATGTGTGTTTGGAAAGTGTAGAGTAGCTGAATGTGTGAGTTTTTGTTTAAATTGTTTAGTGTAGAGACATTGGTGAACTCAAAGCATCACGACATTCGTATCTCGTTTATCTCATGGTACACTCCATCGATGGTCCAGCATTACGGAATCCAGAAACTCAGTTATGCTTGAGCTGGCTAGCACAAGCACCATTTATTCATCTTGTCGCTTCAATGGATCATATTAATGGACTTTCAATTTGGAGTGAGGAAGATTTACTCCGGTTTGAATGGCTTAGTCGGAATATTGACACGTGCCAGCCGTACAGACACGAAATTGAACTGAAGTTGGCGAAATGTGCAAAAACGGCGGATATCACGAGCAGCGGTGTTAAATTTATTTTGCAAAGTTTGACACCAACGGATGTAGCGATGCTGCAAGAAGTTGCGCGCCAACAGCTCGCACTTTCAAAGCAATTGAATGCTCAGAGCCGTACGTCAAAGGTTGCAAAATACGCACCTTACCAGTCAGTCTACGAGGCTTGTCGCAAAAAGTTGTTATTTTTCACACCTTTAGCTTTCAAAAACTCGGTGAAATGTCTTGAAGATCATGGCTTGCTGAAGAAAATTCGCTTTCATACGGTAGAGTACCTCGAGATACCTCTGCCAGAGTCGGTCGTCAAAATGGAAATTGTTCATCAGTAGCTCGTTTTTTAACCTTAATGTCTGAAGCTCTGCTAAATCGAGTCAATTGTAATGGGTGAAGCAGTGGGTTAGGCGCGGGCACTTCACAAGTGACTTGCGTCAATGTTTGCTGGATGGAGTTTAAATGACTGAACTCTTTGCATCTTACTTTTCGCATTCGACCGTTGTTGACAAATTTATTTGAATGACAATCACGTATGAGCAAACCAATGCTTTACAATAATGCTTCGTCCGCGGCGTGTTCATTCGGAACCGAGATGCACTTACAGAACATTCAATTCGGTTCTATGAAAATCAAGACACTCACATCAAACCCGAGCATACCAACTTTGACGTTGTGTCACTTTGTCTTTAAAGCATCTGATAACGAGCGTTTGAGCGGTATATTTCCGGCTAAGACTTATCAACTGCTCTGTGCTGTGTTGCAACTTCTACGATGTCATGTGCGATTTATGTGTTTCGAAACAGCATGATGACGCAGTGATGAAAGTAGTGTTGTGTATCTCTCACAAGGACGATTATTATATGTGATTGCTTAAATGATTTAAGATCGTTTCGCAATTGCCTTCGCACTCCAAACTCTATGCTAACCGATCAGCGCACGACAAAAACAAGCTAGTTCAAAATTTGACTGAGATTTACGATTGCAACGGGAAAACCGTGCCCTTTGCACAGATGGAGCACTAACAAATGTACAAAATTTAGGTTCGTGGGCTCTAACTAGGAAGATACCAAGACGTAGGTGGGTATCGAATCAATAAATGTTCATTTTTCGAATTATCACTCTAGAGAGTACTTAGATACATGTGACTTCTAGATGTCAAGGTTATTGTGGATGTAATCTTGTAAAGTAATTACATCGGACCCGGTAAGTCGATTATTTGTAACCACACCGCGACACCATGTGACAAACTTTAAGACGATTGGTGATGGGAAATGTCATGGCGACGTACACTTGTGCAAAGTTTTGGTCAGGTCATCCCACTTCTTCAATTCTCTTTGGTAAAGCGGCACTGACCACATCAGCGTGAGATCTTCAGCTTAGATCGACATGAACACAGTGGCGACGATGGAAACGAATTTATCTCAATGAAGAAGTGTCTGGATGAAATGCGTAAAAGAAGATGTATAGTACGTGTTTTTGATCAGCCCGCACGACTCAAAGAAAGCTGCTCGATACAGCTAAAGGGAACCCGGAGTATGAAGTGGTATGGAAGCGCCGCTAAATTGTGTCCGAGCCCAGTACCACTTGTTTCTGAAAATATCCAAATACCATCAAACTCAGCCCTGGTACTAAACAGGCGTGGCACATCAGAGGCGCTACAGCATGGGCAACACAAAGCCATCTAAAATTGTACGAAAGAACTGGTCAAAACAGGTATCAATCGTCCAAGAGATTTGCATCTCGTATTGGCATTTTGCGTGTATTGTTTAGGACTTCCATCAACTGAACAGAAACAATTTTTGTCATATCAAACCTATAAAGGAAAACACAATTTCCGCCATGTCTTCATAGCCATTGGTTTTCTCGTGTAGATCTGCTGCGGTGTCTGTGCTACTTAAAACTCAGATGTGACGATTTATCATCCACTACTAAATTCGAAGTTGTTTGAACACCTTTTAATTAGTGGTAGTCCTGGCACAATTAATCACCTGTTCCAATGAATATGTAGTGAAATGCGCGATGTTATGCGCATATACTTTAACAACTTTACATCTTCACACAAAGCTAGAACATCGCAGAGAATTCCGAGATTTTGGTCATGAACTCCAAAATTGCTAAGATCAACAGCTGTACATCAAGTTGTCGTAATACCAGTTCTGCACGATAGATACCCCTTGTCTTGGGGACTTCCAGGAAAAAAAAAACCATTCTTAATGACACCGACATGATCAGTATATCAAATCTGGCCAGTTCCAATGACAAAGAAGCGGATGTCAAGAAGGCGTTGTTCCCTACAGTCCCTTGGGTGTAACTTGTGCTTTGACTTTTCCAATAAATTACGCCACCCACTTCGAAAGACAGAGATACGTGGGTTTTGCCACCAATTCAAATCTTCCAGTAGAAACCAACATTTTGCATCACACGGAATGTTAGTGACTTTATTTTAGAGTTCACATACATGTAGGAACAACATACTGTGTTCTCCATTTTATAAATTCCCATAATGCACACAGAAGGCACATTGATGTAGCTTCATGTAATTGCAAATTGTAGCTGATCACATCACCCCTCCTTAGTCAAAAACATTTTGGCAGACTTTTCAAGGCGTTCGCTTTCTAATCAGCGATGAAGCAAACGAGTAAACAAGCCAAGATAAAGCACCTTTCTCCGCCTAAACGGCAAAGAACGGCCCCAGAACGCTTTGGCGTTTTTGATTTTTCACTCAGATCGAGACAAGAAGATCTGCATGAAACCTTTTTATTGGCGTCGGTTCAGTAATCGTAATTTTTCGACCCAGCCTATCGCAGCTAATATCTGTTTGATCTGAGGACAATAGCAAGCTGGAGCGTCTGCTTTTACGAGTCGGTGCTGACAGTCTCGCAACCACGACCAAGCAGAACCAAGCCCTGGTTGTCCTAGTGTTGCCGTTCGAAACACTATAAGTAAATTGCAAAGCTGCGGACCACGTCTGGAAAATTAGACTCTACGGCCTGTCGAGGTTCCCACGTGGTCTGATGGATAACCACGCGACCGAACTGTGTCCAAGCATTGATGATTTTACTGCCTTTTCAACGATGACGAGTTGATTGCATCTCGTGATCGACAATCGCCTCAGCCAACCAACGACGCTCACCATGATAGTCCGATAGCGACTGTAGTCCTGAAACTTAAAGTGATTGAGCTACTCTGGTCGTGAATGGGCACTCATCTCAGGCAAAACAAGACATTACAGCAGCGTTGCTCGACGCTTGACTCTCGCTTCAAGAAATTTCCGAATCTTGCTACAAAACAGAATTCAAACTCGACGTCCTTACTAATGGTTCAGCCCGAATCGGCTTTGAGTTCCCGCTTTGAACTACGATTTCAACAGCTTCATGATGCGCTTGTTTGACTCTGGGAGGACGAGAAGACACATGAGCTGACTCAATAAAACCTGTTACGCTCTTTGAAGGGACAGCCTCTGTTTTCGAGATATTCTGTGGTGAAGGCCATTACGTTGGAGCCAATAAAGGAGCAATTTTTCATTGCCCATCCACGCTTGTACGCAGAGAAGAATCTTCGGCACAAGCAGTTGGTTATTTCTCGTGAAATATTCAGAAACTTGATAAGTACCCCGGTCATCTAACAAGGGTATAGACGATTGGCAGATCCACTCGAAAGGATTGGGTTAAGCCTATGTGCAGAAAATGCAAGATGTAGACGCATGCGTGTGGAAATGGACAATATATACGCATCACTATTACATTTTAGCACCTTGACCAGTCTAATGAATCATGGCGAAACCTTTTTGCTTCCCAGGTTTTCACTGCATGTTCAGGCAGATTTGTTGTGCTTAGCAGTACAAGATCATTATACACTCTCCTGATCATCCGTCAGCTTATCTGCATTTTTCGCACATCTGGAGCTTTTGCAATTGCATCTCAAACGACGTCCTGTTTCTCATGACTTGTCATGTTGTCTAGAAGTCTCATTGAGTCAAAACTTGATTTTAATGCTTTGACCGCACTTTACGTCTGACTGTGGCTCTGTATACATTGTTCCCCTAACTTATAGTGAGATCTCGCCCGTTATGAAAGTAGGGCTCCACGATAAATATTTTAGCTCGCATAAAATGGCGAATGACTTGTCAATACAAGCGTGGGTCGTTTAACGCAAACTCAGCTAGAGGGGGAAGCTCACTCCACTCCTTAAACGACGTAGTGTAACTACGAAGTACGTATTCCAGGACTTGATTTCAACACTCTGCTTTGCTGTTCGTTTCATGGTGTACCGCCGGTAGTATGAGCGCTTTGACGGGCAATTCATGTAGAGTTGATGTAATCGGATACTCTTAAACCACTATGCACCTGTGAAAATTTACAAAAGAAGATTACAGTGTGGTAGGTTCAAATGCATACGTGGTTTCTTATATGAAGTCATTTACATTCTGTAAGATACAGAATGCTGATGCTGGTCCCTACTTATGGATTTGTTCTGGTGACGACTCTGTCTTTAGAAGCGGGTGGCGTAACCCAGTTTCTTCTACTGAATACCTTCCACGAAAATTGAAGCGCAAGCTTTCGAGATTCAAGCTCCATACACCTCATATTGTTCAATAGTTGTAGCTGAGGTTCAACCTCAGTACATCATTGATTTAAAAATCATGAGATCAATGCTTTACTAGTAAAATCTTAGAAGCCCTTAGGGTGCTTTGCATGTAGTTAGGAGCCCTGACCCATTTTGTTCAATTGCAAATATACCTTCAAAGTATAAAGTCGTTCTTCTCATCCTCAATTCGGGACTGTCCTTCTCCCATCACGTCGGGAATCGCTTCATCGTCGCACAAGCGTGTGTTGTGTTTAAGAGACTTTTTGTGAAGAGCGCCATCTTACAGTAGGGCCACCCGTTTCTCGTCGACAAATCCAGCGAAGATTGACCGTTTGCGGCCGACTTTAATCAGCTATCCTTGATTGTAGAATGTCGACAGTACTGGTGGGCGCTTACAAATGCTTTGCGCACAGTTATCAACAGCGCCCTTTAGAACAAACTATAATGTGGAGTATCCCCAGCAGAAAAACCGCTTTGTTACCCTAGTATAAATTATCGATCAGCTTCTGGAAATGGTTTACACATAATCTATCTGTAATAAAATTTAAAACATCCGAGCTGCTCCTAAGATCAACATCGTAATGTGGTTATAGTCACGCGATGTATTCGTAGTTTTTTGGAGATGTTTTAAAGTACGACTAATTTTAACTTTGCTACAGACAAATGAAGAGCACTCACAACATGTTTCAAAAACCTTAGTTACTGATTAAATAGGTAAAAATGCAGGAGAAGCTTTTGTCTTCGACATTTTGATATGCATCTGGCATCTCCGTGTTGCTTCTAAACTGCCTGGGCCTCAGTCATGGTATCGTAGACATGATGCACAGTTTTGTTAGATGAAATCTGTCGTGTAACTAAGAAATGCAGTCGAGTTGATATTTTCTCAGAACGTCAAGCGTTAGTAATTGCCTAGACCTGAATAAGAATGGTGGCGGTGTCGAAAAGAACTCCAGATTAAATTATTATTTATATTGAGAAAAGTCTATCAAGGAATGCAAAATGCTGATTAACAATAGCTAAATTAGTAGGAGTGACTCGGTCCAGCACTCGGTCTTTCCGCGCAAGCGCATCGAAACGTAGCTACTATTAAGCAGTAAGCTCATTCCGTCTGACCATGTTTTTGAAAATGAGTTGCGGTTGACTTGTTCAATCTGCTACCTAGCATGTTCAGCAAAGGTCGCCAGGGTATCACTAAAAGTGCGGTTCTCAGTCCAATAGAAAGGCTTCTGGCAAGCAGTGCCGTCAAAATTTGTAATGAGGTACAGCTTGACTATATCCTCACCGGTTACAGTATCTCTTACAGTGACCAATTGATTCACTTGCTCTAACGTTACACAGAAACCACAATACTGATATTACGAGACGCGACTTTTCGATGACCGTCGGTGAAAATCATGACTATGGAGTTTCAACGCTTTGTCACTCCCGGTAGGCTGGCCGAGGGGCGGATACATGCCGCAAGGAATCTCTCACTGACACGTTTTTCAGGTGTACACATGCTCTTACTCACGTCACACTGGACCATCTTAACATCGAGTTTATGCCAATTACTGAGTTACTTTTCCAAATGAGTAAGACATGCGACTTGTACAGTACTCTAATTTTGCTGGATTCATGGCGACACACCACTACACGTAACGAATGTGATATACTACTACACCCTAATGATGATACACAATGGTACAGACGCCCTATTACGCACTTTGACAAAATGAGGTTTCATCTCACCGAAGCTTTGCTGTCCAAAGCTTAAACCGACCCAACTACGACCTTACAGTGAAAGTGTACTCGGCAAATAAGCATGCTCGTCGCACCTTTCTCGACGAAAATGTTGGCACGGTACTACTGTGCTTGTCAAGGAATGATCTTCACGGATCACACGCGCCTTATAGCAAAGCAGATGAATCTTAGATTTGAAAAAGACATGCTTCATTGCAAGTAGCATCTGGTCAAGAGCAACGTTATATTTCTTTGCCACTTCAAGTTAACACTCAAATGCAATCAAGTATTGACGCCCATTGGCCATATTCAAGAATAAAATGCAGTCAATTCAAAAGGTTGTAGCGTCATAGACAACATAAAATGGCTGATTCTGAATAGGATGAGAACAAATCGCGGCAAGCGTGAGGCTAAAATTTATTGCCTTCTAGGCCGCCACTCTTGCCGCACTTTATCGCCATTCGACACATTTTGAAAGATTTGTGAGGATTGGTGCCACATCGGAATATTTTTCAGTGTATATGTGTAAGTAGGTGGTCAGGCCAAGCCATTATCACAGGTTCTTCTTACAAAGGCACTTTAAAGCTACAATGCCATCTATTTATCGAGACCTGCCTCCAAATGCTGCAATACATAATAAGGATCTTATCAACGTCTGCAACACATGTGACACATGTGACCGTATCGATTGAGTGTATACATCTGAGCGCTGCTCACGATGGCTCAAAAATGTGGATCTCCAGATCTGACTTTTCGCAAAATCCATAAATTTTTAGGCGAAATGAATTGGTGCATAGCAACGATGTGAATAAAATAGCTGTGCTATTCAAATTTTACTCTGGCGCATTAGACAGCTTCTGTGGCGTATATCCAGCCACCATCATAGTATACCGCTTGGAGACCACCGCTGTGAGAGGAATTACCAGCAGTTGATGACAAGTAATAGCTAGATCTACAGTACTTCACAAATCGTAGTCGACTATACTGCTCTTTAAACATACATTATGCATTGCGGCTGCATGTAGCCTATCATCGGCATGCACAGTTTGCGTTTTGCCGTTAGCCTACCCACCACAGAAAGTCAGCACCGAGAGTGAATATTTACTCTCATTTACCAAATGTGATTTGTACCTTGCAGAATAAAGCGTAGCAATGTTCCCTGGGTATCGCCGCTCTTGTGTGATTAAAATCTGACTCCGAACATTCGTTTGAGTTCATGACACACTACGTAGTATGGGGTCAACATTTGTGGTATCCCCTTAGCAACGAATATATAGTATTTGTAGATAATTTGACCAGCTGCATTATTAATTACACTCCGTGATCTGCAATCGTCCTTAACATTAAGTTATACGTGTAGGATGATAAGCTCAGCTTTTCCTCAGGTGCCAAACGTAATATTTCTGTGGCTTCACCGTCTTATGATTCCATTCACACATTATATGGGATAGTTTTATGAGCTCAACCTATGCTCCATTTTGATATCTCTAGATGTTTTTGGACTACAACGGTCACAGTGTTCACGAGTGAGAAATATCTTTTGCCAAGAACAGTCATAGCATCACTTTTTCGCGTTATAAATTTATCACATGATATTGCGGAATCAGCTGTACCGCCGCATCGTGACAATAATCAACTAGCCTCAATATTTTCAAGGCTTGGTCTGTCAATTTCGATTTCGACTTACAGCTGTCTGTTACCACGGCCCATTCTAAGAAGACCACGACACACAGTGACTTTTACACACTTGCACCATTGTCATACATCCCAAGATATACTGTGATGACCACAACATTTCTTCGCTCAAACTTAGAGGCACGATATATACACAATCTCTATTTTCTATACCAACCTGAATTAACTGCATACAACCGCTTATTCCTTTGATCTCCGCTTGAGGCCTATCAGCAATAGGATATGGACAATCCCTACTGCGTTAAACCCTTGCATATCATCATTGTGCCAAATTCACTTCAGCTTTACTGCAGAGGTGATTCCATGACCTACCAAAATTCCAATCGAAAAAATTCATGGATCAACTCTTTTTGACATTCAGATCATGTCATCAAGGTAACGTCATGCCAGAAGGATATGACATCATGAGGTCAGGCTCAAGACGAGGTAACGTTTTATGCTGCCAGACTCTCGAACTTTACTTTAAGGGACAACAGGACCCACGTCACTTTTCCGAGCAAGATGCACGGATATCGTATCCGTATTTTGCAAGTTAAATGCCTCCGCTTGCCGTCTACATTTTATGATAGTCATGTTCTGTTTGATGTTTTGTTCGCGACAATTATGAATACATCAAGACTTAAAGCAGCTTCACAAAATACTGGAAGTCGATTTCGACAACCAACAACTTTGAGCTGTGATCCGTTCATCTTCTCACACGTAACCGTTTCTTTAAGAGCTGGATTGTTCTAACCACGTCCTATGTTAGATACAATATAAATCTTTTTGTCTCAGTACTTGACGCTACCCCGTGAGAGGTTCGTCATACGCCCTTGTGTGAGAGCTCAACTCTTCACACGTGTCGGCTGAGGGCAACGTAGAGACGCAAGGCGTAAATGTTTAGAACGTTGCAAATTTAATATATATGTGTGCCGCAGAGCAAAAATTCTGTCGCCTCTGGCGTGCATACAAAGCTTGTATTTCCAGCACTCCGTCTATCTTGGCGGCATTGAAAGTCGTCTCCGCACGAAATTCGATGCCCATCACTTTCTTTTTTAAGGTTGGGTGGATGTGTGGCGACTCGATGCACGCCACACCCGTTCGGAGAATCACAAGGAAAATGGCAATCATAACCGGCTTCAGAACAGGTTCAGACGCTATTGTGGCGATAAAGGCCTTGCCTCCTCGGTTTAGTTTGTCATTTAACGCCTCCTTTGACGGATACACAAAACTTTGATCACCACCTATACGCCGGGTTAAGCTGTGCGAACACCCACGACATCTCTCGCTCCAAAACATCCTGGATGCGCCTCATAAACCGATGTATTACGCGTAATTGCTCATACTTGCGCGCGACCTTCTAGCTTACAGATTGCACTCGCAACCTGCTTAGCTCATTTAAAGCAAGGTCGAATAAAAAATCATCTATACATTCCACGTGCAGGGGAAGAAATTTTCTTCACCCGACCCCCTCCATACCGGAAGGTGTTTTCTGTCCACTCATCTACCGGTACACCTTTGCAGCATACGTCGGCGCATACAGCAGCATGTCGGTACGTGCAGAGTATTGACAGCCAATTAGTATGGGCTATATCGTCAGTCTTAAGAAAGTCACGTCCCATAATGCCGGTATTTAATTTTTTTTGCGGACAGCTTGGAAGGATTGATTATTTAGCTGCTGCTGGTGATACTAAAAATGGTGACGTTGTATCCAAGCTGTTCATAGATATTTTTCTTGTCAATAGATTTACTAGTAGCCTTTGTAGCATAGATAGAACTGCACATAAAGCGACATTGCTGAACACTTTGCACAACATGCTAGACACCAGATTGGATATGTCAACCGCTGATTATCCGCAAAGAGATAGTTAAAATGGAGCGCATTGATAGCTTGGTGGAGAGAAATTACATGTGGACTTTCGCGGAGAGACATCGATTCTGAAGCGTGTTTCTTCCGCCCATCAAGTTTGTGATGAGTCGTAGTTGGATACCTCTACAGGCCCCATTCCAAAAAAGCCCTGTTTTTTTTTGACACCGTCACAAACCTTAGTAAGGAGAGGCTACCAGTAGTATTCGAGATGATAATAACATCCCAGCAACACTTTACAGCATTACCACAGACTTCGTCTCAATGAATTTGTGTCCCTTGTACCAAGTGCGCAATACTATGGCTGAGAATACAAATGTTTATAGGCTCTACGGCAATACCTGAGGCAAACGGGGCACCCATTATTATGCTGAGCGTAAATGTTTTTGACGCTGAAGGGCTCCTGGTTCATGGTGGTGCGAAGAGGATAGCGCAACTGTTCACACATAAGATGTTAACGCGTCGGTGAGTGTATCAGGGACAGTTGTAGAACTTTATATAGAACGAACGCTTCAACTGAGTCTCAGTCATTAAAAAACAAAGGTAAAGACGATAAATTGCTGGACGTGAGCTGTTAAATTGGTCCAGCTTTGGCCTGAGTGACAGCTCAATGCGCTAGCATATTCAGGCTAAGATATCGTAGGCTTTTTCCGCGTCATTGGAAGAAGTACAGTTTACGCGAAAGACTTGATGCAACTTGCGCCAGCACGGAGATGATCTATAGATATATAGTTTTAAACGACCCTGTATAACTCAGGCGTTATCCGAGCTATAAGATTCTCAACTTTTGGGCTTAGCTCAGCTAATCCGTTCGAAAGGCGTAGATTTGGAATACGACTGCGCGATATCCGGATGATAAGACGGTGCAAAGACTTGCATATCTGTACCTTCAGGCGTTTAAGCCTTATTTAATGGATAATTTTTTTATGCGAATTATAAGAGCAACGCAGTTTTAACTCGCAAAAGTATGTCGATATGATGAAGTTAAGGCTCCAAGAGCGCACCAGAGGCGGTAACCTTCAGCAAATTTGAGTATAAATAGAGGGGACCGTTAGCTATGAACCTCTGCAGCTTTAAGTGAAGACATGTACGTTTTAAGTGTCTGTTGGTCTCTCGACTTAGAAGTATTACAAAGAAACTCCCATGAAAAGCCGTGCAACTGATACCTTTCGGAATTTAGTCTAGTTTCAGAAGTTGTAGATGAACGGATGAGGAAAACAAAGCTATATTGTACCTTGTGGGCATCCAGCTCTTATTCCTACAACCCCAATGACTCGACGCACTCTAAGCGGGGTAAGGCTCACAATCTAAATTCACTAGCTGTCAAGATTAATGTAATGGGTTATCAACGCTACAAATAATGTTGATAAACTCAGGGACGTCGTGCAATTGATAGCAACGCGCTTCCGCCTCAAATGAAAGAGAATATATGTTCTGTCAAATTCGGATACTATTGCGTGAGTCTGTCGATGGGCGAATCAACCCAAGTGTCGAATACTTCCCGAACCTTGAAAATAAGCCTTAAGATTTGGAAGGGAATTCTGCTTTGGCCTTCCATCTTAAAGCAAGATGCAATCTCATTTTATTTGTGTACAGGCTGGAATGTCTCGAGCCTTGCATCTACTGAAAGTCGAAGACAATACATGACATGCCCTTCACTTAAGATAGTTCTTCGGTGAAGCATGAATCTACATCTGCCTTTAAATACAAATGCTTCGGCATACGCAAGAAGCTGCAGCAACTTTTATGCAGGTCTGAAATGAGACAACACACTTCTACAATGCTGTTGCTAGGAGCGTTGAGCAAAAGTCGCAAGGCACGGACGTGTATGAGTCATGGTCAATGCATTTTGCGGGTTGAGGTAGGTAGATGCAGCTTCGAGCTGGTGCCCAATCTATTTTATTATGAAAGGGTGGCAAGCAGCCTTATGTCGCGATTTTTAGGGCTAAGCTCTGTTAGTAGTATGAAGAAAGCTTTGCACTGAATTCTTCACATCTCATCTTGTTCAGGAGAAGGATGTGTTCGTGCTAGGGGCAGCTTTTGGGAAAATGAGGTGGTGACCTGTCATCTTTGAAAGACATGTAGGCAGATCAGACCATGGTGTCATTAGCGATAGATCATCCTTTGTCATGATTTGACAATGCCGCTCACCGTGTGAGGTATAGGATGTTTAAGAGATTATGCTAAGCATTTATTGTGAATTGGGAGGGCTGAAAAGCACAAGGTGATAGCAGTCTTGCCTTAAATATACAGGCGAGGCTGTACCGAGCTGGTGATGTAAACAAGAACTTCGAAGAAGAATGAGTTAACGTATTGGAACGTAAAAGTTTCGGTGATGAAGCTGTTGGAATTAGATATAAATTAGACGAACCATCTATCTCCAACAATATAATATGCATCTTCCTGTGCTGAGAATCCTAAACGATGTGGTGACAGAGATGTACACCCGGTATTACGTAAAAAGGAGTGTATCATGAAAATTACTTAGTTCATGGGATCATATTTTGAGTTAAACGTCAAGGGCCTTTAACATAAACGTTGCAACGACACAAACGCTTCCATCCGCGCAAAGCATGGTGTGGAAAGTTTAAATCACTTTCTCGACGTGAAATTTGTTGCGTCGGAATGCTTATGGGAAGTGGTGAATTGTGCTTCATATACAAAACCTTGAGTTCAGCCACGCGCACAGGCTGATCTCAAATATAATGATTTTTGGGATCTTTCTGTGTACAACAGTATATGAGATCCTACTTAAAAAATCCTATTCGAGTACCATTACACCCACGGACCTTTTTGATAATTTTTTCGTCTTTGGTCGTGCAGAATACGATAAGTTTTATCTCGGCATCCATGGGAAATATCGCAGGCTGTGGTTTAGTGTGTTTTCTCTAATAGTCTACCGCACTATTAACAAATATATACTTGGTGCTGAAGAGTTTAATTTTTGGAATGCTTAAAGGAAAAGTATGGCCATCCCACAAATTCCGCAATGATGAGGTCATCGTGATAAGTATAGATGGAAGATGATGATGGACTTAATTAAAAGGTGGAGCAAGCCCACCGCTATACAGTACATAAGGTTCTATGATTGTAAATAGTGTAACATGAATCCAGTTTCAATCCATAAAGACTGATTCTTTGCATATTTAAGATGAATTAGACACGAATACATGTATGGGTTTGGAAGTTTGCGGTCAGGCGTTGTTCGCGCTTGCAACGCAGCCTCAAAGAGTAATACTTTCTTTGTGCGATGTATCCGCCAGCTAATACACTTGACGCCCTGTTAAAGGTAAAATGAGGGAGGTCGGTACCGTCATGCACAATAATAACATCGAAGCATACAGGGTGATTTTGCACGTCAAAACGTTAATGCAAAACGCTTACTCAGATCGATGTTACAAAGAAACAAAGTCAGTCGTAAGCTTATTCTCTACCTAAACATTCGTCGCGATATAGACTTTTCTGACTTGTATACTTGAGATTTCATCATGTGATACGATCACACATTGTGTGTCCAACCGATCTATGCTGTACTGGAGACGACATTGAGAAAAAGTAGTGCTCTAATAACTTGCTGAGTTTTTGATAAGGCTTGTAATCGCCATCCTCCTACCCAGACCTTCAATTTTGAAGTACAAATTGTGCCGACTTTAATGACATTTGGAGGAGACAGTTGATTGTGGGATCATCATTGTACACTCGTCCCTCAGGTAACTAATGAATGCGGTAAAATATCTATGATTGAGTCGAGGTTATGAGTTATCCGAGTTTTTGCGAAACTTATTCAAGCGGTGAACTTCAATGCAAAATTATATTTACGATAAATATGCCACCAGCACGTTTAACATATGTGCAGAGGCTCGAGGACTGCAACCAAAAGGCCAAAACTCATTAGATGAGTTAAAGTGCGCTTGCGACATGGGATTATCCGGAGTCTGGCGTTGAAACTACTTTATTTATCATTTACAGCATCCTCAAAGAGAATTGCGAGATCAAGTACTGACAGATGTTAAGCTTTCGGTCAAATGGCTTCTCGTTGTAATCACCCGCAGCTCGATGAAGCCTTGACAACATGGGTGTTTCATTTCCAGACAAGGCATGTAGCATTCACTTGAAAAAAAGCAAATGTGGTTGATGACCAACTTGACTTGCATGAGGATGCACGTCAATATTCCAATGGATGGCTGCAACGCTTTAAAGAGAGGAGCAAGCAACGTTGTATCAGGTTCCGTGGTGAGAGTGGTGCAGCAGGTCAGGCAATAATAGATGCTGTCCTTCCTGCGTTCTTAGCAGTCATTGCTCGGTATGAACTGAAGGATGTGTTCAACATGGATGAAACTGGTCTGAATGTTAGCAGCGTATCTTAAATGGAGATTCTTTGATTGATATCTTCGTTAGACTATTTCATTCCATGGTTACAAAAAAGACCGCTGCACAACAGCAGATTGAGGGACGTCAACACGACAAAGTAAGTTTGTTTGCAGATAAAAATTGTCCTTAATGAAAGGGCTGACTTAAATAACATCGTCCCTTATGCATCGTAAAAACACATCACTATTACCTTCACTGCCAACACAGATGGGTCAGAGAAGTTCAAGCCACTGTTGATTGGAGAGACCAATAAGCTTCGCTAGAGCAATCGGGTTTCTATTATCGCGGCAAAAAGAAAGCGTGGATGACCAGCCCCCTGGTTAAGAAGGCTCGGCAACGACATCAAGGTACAATATGTAAACGCTTTAGCTACGCTCTCAACTATTTCAATAACTGTTCTTTTGGACCAAAAATAGGCGGATCCCCCTTCAACTAGATAACGCCATTTCTCACATAATCAACGATCACGAGGTGAATAATGTCAAGGTGGTCTTCCTTCCCAAAAACTGTACGTCTAAGATCCAACCAATGGATACTGGAATAATCTCCGCGTTCAAGCGACGTTACCATCTTGAGAATGCTGTTGGTCGTGACGATCGAGGTGAAACCGACATCCATAAGATGGATCAACCAACCGCAATGAAATGGAGCAAAGCAGCTTGGGAGGAGATACCAGTAACTACCGTGGCCAATTGTTTTTGCCACACTGCTCTCTTTGCATGATCTCCTCAAATATTGGTGCCCAATACGGATGAGCAATGCATTAAACTCGACTTGTGCGTCGCTATCAAAAGGCTTCCCTTGCAATAATCCCTTGAGTTCAGTGACGGAGGACGATACAGCCAATCTGGAGTTGATTGACGACGAGATTATAGCCATGATTCAGGAGACGGAAGAAGAGGAGAATGACTATCAAGCAATTGAAAATGTGGAAGAGCAAATAGTATACAATCTAGAAAAGCTAAAAGGCTAGCATTTACTGCTTCACTGCTGAATGTGAAGAAATCTACAGATAGAGTGGTACTCAGGCCCATTCGAGAACTGCAGAAATCTCTCAAAACGATGGCGACAGTCCAGACTACCATCAGTTCGCAGCTAGTTTCAGATTAGTCCAGCATAACTATATGGCACTTCATTGTCTTCTACATCAGCAAAGTTCATGTTTTATTAGTCAGTACCTATCGTCGCATTATGTCCATGTGACAGAAAGACCCGAAGGAAGCGAGTTAAGCAAAGCGCCATACTCGGGTATGGCGCTTTGCTCAACTTGGCTACATACCAAAAAGCTTGGTGGAACAAACTTTTATTACTTATTCGAGAATATGAGTTATTCGGATATGAGTTATCCGAGGGACGACTGTAACCTAAAAGTGGGCGATGCGAAAGCTCGTGCGCCACCGCAATAGGCCGACTAGACTTGTAATAACCTAACCGATACAACCGAGCTTGGTCTTACCAATATCTGGGGATAACGTTGTCAAACCAGGTACTTAATGATCTATATTGAACGTAAAAGACTTCGAGCCGAGCACATGTACCATGCGCTTGATCAGAGTATGCTTAATTCTGTGAGTCATGAGCTGTATTATTCTTTTCTTTAGATTTAAGTCGGAGAAATCCAATAGGTCATGCGTTGATCGGCTTGAAGATTAATTCATTTTTGCGACCCATCCTGAAGTTGAATAACATCAAGGAGATCGATGAGGGGCCAAGCCATTTCAACATAATTTACACTATACTTGTACACGTATTTGGCCAACCCAATCTATAATGCTTCTATTTGAAGACTTTCCACTGACAGCCACACCAAATATGTCAAAATTTTACGATATTTTAAATATACATAAACTATTTAGAGTTAAAAATCTTGACAGGACCTGCTGCAACAATGCGTAGACGAGATCAATGCGATTAGCTTGTTCTAGCAATCCAACTGAAGGTGTTTACCAGTACCTTAATGTCACAAGTTGCGATTGCCGCTTCATTGTGAATGGTACAGCAGTTATTTGTAGCGCCCAGATGATATCTCTTATGATGCGATATATCTAAAATAATTGTAAATCTTGTTCTCTTATGGACTGCCCAGACTGGATAACGCGTTGGTCATCACAATAAAAACAGTACAATACATTCTTCTTTTAGTGCTGATACTTCCATCCGATCAACAATCTACCTATAAACCTTTTCGAGAGAAATCAGCGTGGCGTTTGAAAAAGGTTCGAGCTTTTGTGTCAACGTATAAAGACATGCTTTGAGGTCACGCAAGTCTTTCGTTAAGATTCGTTGATTCCTACAAGTAACACGGTATCCGCCAGCAGCATCTTATCCACAAGCCACCCTTGACGTGGACAGCAATCGATTGTTTTTGTATTTGGAATTCAACGATTGTTGGTCTCTTAACAGAAAGTGGTTGAAGTTTACAATGTGCCACGTTTAACAATCTTTAAAGCATTTTGCGGCCCATACATGTGATGGACGTATGAAAACTAGGTATGATGTCAACTATACTGTTAGCACTCTATAAGCAAGACGCAATTCCACAACACCTCGAGATTGTGCATGATCCCACCCATACATCATTCATTGCTTCTGCAAGGTTGAAGCAAGATTGTGAACCAAACATGCTGAGTGTATAAGACTCGTGTACAGTTCGCCAGCCTGCCCCACGACAGTCACACAAGTGGTGATCCTGGCTCTATAATAACGCAGTCTGTTGCTCCTCAGAACCCCTAAAAATACATCAATTGCTATCGTTGTATGTCATTTACCATGGTAGCGTCATCACCGAGAGTCTATTCGTACTATTGATGCTTTGGATTTTGTTAACAGCTGGAGGCTGTCATCCACCTGGATAATAAGCAGATGATGTCTAGCCTTGACCCAGGTCATGTTTGACCACAAGGTCGACATATGGAACAATGTGACTGACCCTGCCTCTTCAGTCTTGCCTGCTGTGACTCTTCAACGGAAGAGAGCCATTCTCCTGTCCACTGTGCTCGACCGGCAAACCTTCCCCGTGTCGAACATGGCACGAACTTTCGTCATTATTCAATTGACCGCCAGGACCAGAATCATGTCCACGTACTCCTACTTTCCACACTTGCCGACCAGAGAGATTCATCGAATACCACCACAACAGCATGAATTTGACGGACTGTCGCTCACTCCCAAGTATCTGTCTCGAGAGCGTACAGCACTACCTCCGCTCAACGTTCTGCCGTCGCGCGTGCACGCTACTTTTAGTTATGCGCAATCGCGATTTCCGGCAATGATGTCTCCTGCGGCGATGCCCTTAGCTTCTTGTACTCATTCTCCGGCAAAGAAACGTGTTCGTGCGGTGGTTAATGCCTCCAAATCTATTACTTTAGAGATGCTGCGTCCACACTTCGAAAAACCGCTGGCTGAGGTGGCAAACACCTTTGGCATCTGTATGACACTAATGAAGAAGATCTGCCGCAAAAATGGGGTTCCACGTTGGCCACATCGACAGATTCGCGGACTGCGCAAAAGCATCTGGTCTATCAAAAAGGCTCTGCGCTGTTGTGAGTCCGAATTCCAGCGTCGTTCGTACAACGATCACCTGCTCAAGCAGCAATCAAAGCTGAAAACGATTCTCAGAGGACCTGCAAGTCCAAGCAGCAAAGCAGCTTTTGAGCTAATGCTGTCAGAACCGTGCTCACCCATTAATGAGGTTGAGAATGTCAACGTTGACGAAAAAATTGAGATCTTAGAAGTTCCAGCTGTGAGTCCGGCAACTCAGTTTCACGTGCCAGGATTACAAATTTCTCAAAAGCAGATAAACAGCGCATTGCCCAAGTTGCCATCAATAGCTTCGCTGCTAATGAAGAATGAGATGCGATGTCGAAATTATAGCTACTGAATGTTGTTATGTGAGTCTATAGTCGGCGAGGTGTGTGTAAGGCGTTTAAAGATGCGGTTAGTAGTTATAACATAATGTCAGTATCCATTTACGTTTCGGATTTCCTATTTTTTCATACTGGATAGATATGGAAGTACTAGACCTGACATGAATGTCAGTAGCAAAGTATCGTCAAGATGAATTTGTTGCGGCTTTCTCAAGCTTAGTCATGACTTGCATAAGACCGACATGATCCTTGAGTGGACTTGAAAAGATACTTAGCCACCGGCCATCAGGTGGTCCGGTCTCGATTAATATCGACCACTTTAATATACTCGCGCAGTGTTCATGAAAACCTTTTCTTCAATTAGCATGCTGTCGTGCAATGAAGAAATAACAAAGATGTTGCAACCAGGTGGCGAAGTATCAAAGCCCTGGTTTTTTAAAGTAGGAGTTTTAAGTTAATAAGCTTTGCTCTCTAAATCTGGCACGGACGACAGTCAAGCCATTTAAGCCGAGCATTATGCTTATTTATCGAGCCAATTTTAAAGAATACTGTGACACACAAGTTATATGTATAGGATTACTGATGATGAATTTGTATGTGAGTTTGTTTTTACTTGATAGTGCCGAATGCCATATTTGCAATGGTGTTGCTAGTATGTTTTCTAACTCTGAGTGATTGGAAGTATAAAACGTTAAATACAAACCGCTTTGCTTCTGTAGGCATTTGTCGCATCGTGAGCCCACTCCACCAATGAAAAGTACTTTGGGCCGAAAGACGTCCATGAAAGAAAGGGCTGTTGAAAGGCATACGTAGCGTAGTACGTAGATTACTAAGAACTATTTGTCAAATACAGCTAGTGCTACATGCAAGTATTGTCATAGATGACTTCAAAAACAACCCCGGCGTGGCTAGAACAGTGATACGTACCTCCAAGAGTAGCATATAAACTTTGTTCACGCTCTGATTGTGCCACGAGTAAAAACTCTGTTCTGAAAGGTTTGCTTACCATGTGATTTTTGAACCAAAACGTTGTCCGAGTCAGGATTTGAAGACCCCTGCTTTGCCTTTACACCTGATTAGATGATCTCTTGCTCATTCCTGAACGATCGATGTCATCTACGCAATCAAACTTTAAGTATGCGTTATTTGTCCCATAGCAAAAGGCATTTAGGCGTACTTTCACGATCCTGTTGACCCAAGTTTGTCATTAAATGCTTCCTTGATCCGCACTTAAAGACACTAGGTTAAGACTACACACAGTTTGTTAGCTAATTCCTGATTATTCACGTTATTGCTACTTCAGATACACGGTCGAATCCAATAAATTTATAACTTCACGTCCATTGATGTATACTCAATCGAAAAGGACGAACCAATCATGATACTACTAACAAAAATATGCAGTCTGACCAACAGATGCTAAATCGGTATCAACCTCATGATACCCGATGTAGCATCTGTAGGTTTCGCCATAAGTTGTGGATAGACCCAAAACGACATTATTTCGAGGCCACATGTCTTCTCGTGTCGCGTTGGATCGTATAAACGTCCCTTTTATCCGATCAGATGGCAGTCTACAACCTTGCGCCAAAAACTTATTCTACCATAAATCGGACTGTCAATATAGGACACTGTAGTTGTTGGAGTGTGCAATTTTGGTGGGCGCAAGTCTTGATGAGGAGAGGCGGTATCTTTGCGAAATAAATGATATCCAGGGGGCTGCCTGTAATGGATGATGTATCAAGCTATGGTGTACGCATATATTCAGCGGTTAAGCTTCACTCTAAATCTGAGAGACAATCATGAAGAAGACCATAATAAAGTATCATGATAAGTACACGGTACGTAAGGAGACAAAAGTAACGAGGTGGTGTGAATTAGATATTAAAACCAAATATATTTTGATATTATAAATTTTAATATGGCAGTTTTAGAATCAAGTCCCTAGCTCATCAAGAGACCAGTGGTTATATCCTATAAGGACCGTGCACCGTGCAAGGCCATCCTATATGCGGTAGTTAGCACTGCAGACTCATCAATCCTTCTTTGTAATGAGATACCTTCTGTATGCATTGCGAAAATTATAGAAAAAGATTACAATATGGTGTCATCACATGCGTGTCTTGCATTTAATAAGAAGTCATAAACTTTCTGTGTACAGATTGTTGTACAGAATGTTGGTTCTAACTTGGATTCTGTACTAGTGACGCGACTGACGTGTCTCTGTCTTTCAAAGTGGGTGGCGTAACCAGTCACTTCTACTGGATACTTTCGACAAAAAAGTTGAGCTCAAAAGATCTTGTATCAATTAAAGCTGAGATTTAACCTCAGTACACCCTTAATTTTGAAAATCAGATTTATAGGAGCCCAAAGTTCTACTAGTAAAACCTCTAGGGGCCCTCGACGTGTTTTATATGTAGCTAGGAAGCACTAGCTCGTTTAATTCAGTTGGAAATTTTTAAAACCTTAAGTCGTTCTTTCTCTTTCAAAGAAGGAACTGTCCTTTGCTCTCCACGTCAGAAATCGATTTTTCGCAGCAAAAGCGTTTGTGTTGTGTGTGAACGATGTCCGCTTACTCCTTTTTCTTTGTTAGGTGCACGACAACTATTAGCAACGTAAGACTGGTATCTCTTCAGGAACGAGCGGTATTATATTTTCATCTGTTCTCTGTTGATAAACGGATTCAAATACGATTTTTCGGATGACCGTTGGCAGTTAAAGTGGCCTAAGGGGTCGCGGGAGGGGGGGGGTTCTCGGTCCAGGTGCATATTCTAGGAGCTAGGTGCAGGGAGAACGCCCAAGTTCTAATCCATCAGTTGCTCTTCCACCATTCACATTCAAAAAGGGTTATAAGCCCAAGCGAGTCGCGCTAGGGGAATAACAATACAACGCCAAGGAACAATTGATCAACAACGCGAGAACATGCTGGTGTTCTTGGACAAGGCCAAAGACCGGTGGTCCAGCAGCTTTCCACCAGTTCGTGACGGCGAAGAGATCGATTGGCGTCAGCGCAAGTGGCTTCTGCGGACGACGGAGGAGTATGGGATCCTCAACATCGCGGAGGGCAGGCTCAAGAGAGACCAACTCAGCACTGCGAAAGGGAAGATAGCTTTTGATCACCAGCAGTGCAAGATCCAGCGCATGGTTGCGTCGGCAATACCGCCACACTGCTTGCAGCAGGTCGACTTGGATACCGGCACTGAGATGTGGGCGGAGGTGAGCGAGATCTACGAGAGGCGCATGGACCCGGCGATCATGGAGAGCATCATTCTCCGGGAGTGCGATGAGCGCAAGGAGCTCAAGGGCTCGCCAACAGGCGATGTGAGCATTCATCTGGCCAAGATGTTAAGGATCAAGTCGGACTTGAAGAGCTACGGCTACGACGTCAAGGATATCAACATGAGGC